AGGTGTGGATATGCTGGGTCACTTGGTAGTTCTATGGTTCACTTTTAGAGGAAACATCAAACCATTTTCCTTATCAGCTGCACCATTTTATATTCCTATATGGTCACATTTTGATCATATTTTAATCTTTACTTGTCTCATGTGCCCATGTAAGAGTAAATTATCTCTGAGGTTAGAATGCCAGAATCAAAATTCCCCCATAGAGCTGCCAGGATGGATGTCAACCTGAATGAAAACTTTCTTACCCAAGTGTTGATAAAGAAATTGTTGGTGTTAAATGATAATGTTTGGGAACCATCTTGAAGAAACACTATTCCTGTATTTCTGCTTTGGGGGCCAGTGTTATAGCTACATTTTGTTGGCTTTTCCCTGCACACTGTCACACTTGACCTGGATACTGGGGAGCTGGGAAAAGTTATCATTTCCAGCATTCTGTCTCAGCCACATCTTGTTTGCAGTTGGGTTGTGTGAACTCGAGAAGAGCAAGGGATTCTTTGCGACATTTGATAGATAATATTTTGGCTTTGTTTATTCATTACTGTTTATATTATTTACATTCATTTCATATATATTACCTACTATATCCATTATATTATTTTTTATTGTAATGAAAATCTGCACACCAAAACATTGCCAATTCAACAATTTTCTATATGTAAAATTCAGTGATGTTACTATTTTGTTTTTTAAATGTACTATTTACCTTTTTTTTAAATATAATATCACATGCTTACTGAAGAAAACTTAGAAAATAAAGAGAAGTATAAAGAAAATAAGGATCTCTGGTGACATGGTGGATAAGGCATTTGGCAGCTAACCAGGTCAGAGGTTCAAACCCATCAGCTGCTCTGCAGAAGGAAGATGCTGCAATCTACTTCCGTAAAGATCTGCAGCCTTGGAAATTCAATGGGAGTCTCTATGAGTTGGAATTGACTTCATGGCAGTGAGGTGTTTTTGTTGTTTGCTTGTTTTTTTGATAAAGAAAATACAGAGAAATATCAAGAATAAGGAAAACCAAAGAAGAATTGATGCCTTTGAATTATGGTGTTGGTAAAGAATATTGAATATACCATGGACTGCCAGAAGAAGAAACAAATCTGTCTTGGAAGAAGCACAGCCAGAATGTTCATTAGAAGGGAGTATGATGAGACTTTGTCTTCTGTACTTTGGACATGTTACCAGGAGGGACCAGTCTCTAGATAAGGACATAATGTTCAGTAAAGTAGTAGTTGTTGTTGTTATGTGCTGTCGACTCCGACCTGACTCATAGCGACCCCTCCTTTGGTTTCCGGGGCAGTATCACTACGAAAGTAGATTGCCCAACCTTTCTTCTGAGGAGTGGCTGGTGGGTTTGAACCGCCTGCCTTCTGGTTAGCAGTCAAGTGCCTTAGGCACTATGTTACCAGAGCTCCTCAGTAAAGTAGAGTGTTAGCAAAAAAGAGAAAGACCTTCAGTGAGGTGGGTTTACAAAGTGGCTGCAATAATGGATTCAAATATGGCAATGATTGCGAGGATGCTGCAGAACCAGGCAGTGTTTCATTTTGTTGTACACAGGATAGCTCTGAGTCAGAAGTGATTCAATGGCACCTAACAACAACAAGCCTCCTAAACCGTGAGAAAATAAATTTGTTTGTTAAAACCATCCACTTGTGGTATTTCTGTTATAGAAGCACTAGATAACTAACACACCCAGGGCCCCCAAGTGGCAGTCAGGACCAGCTTTCTGAAATCCAGACAGGATCCTGTTATTCCCCAGATGAAGAGTTCAAGTTTCTTAACCCAACTCACATAGCTTACCCCATGTCACAACCTTCCCTTCTTTCTCCCTTGGCCTCCTGTCTATGAGCTCTGTGCCTCATTCCAGAGCAGTCTGAAGGATCTTCTGCAGGATGTTAATAAGACCAAAAACACCAAACTCACTGCCGTCGAGTCGGATCCAAATCATAGCAACCCCTCCTTGAGTTTCTGAGGCAGTATCACTATGGAAGTAGATTGCCCAATCTTCCTTCCGAGGAGTGGCTGGTGGGTTTGAAC